TTTCATAATAAAATAATGATTAAAAATTTTTACAATAGCTATCCGTCTCTTATAGCATTTTAACTGCTTTGAGCTCTCTGGTGGTCAATCGGGTAATCACAAAAAACTTTGCATAAAGACAACATAACCCAGGATTATGTACTGGTACATGTGAATATAAATTGATAATAAATGCCAATAAAATGTATGCTTATGCTCTTTTATGCATTCAAAAAAATGAAACTAACATTATATTAGATAGTCTGTGAAAACATTTTAATGATATTTAATCAGTTTAAAAGTTAGAAATAACTGCTTTAAGGAAACGATATATCAGATTGTTGGTGAACATTTTTTTAGTTTTCTTAGCTTCAAATCACTTTGAATCAAATTCAAAATGTTGAGAATATTTAACTTTGAATCAGATAGTTGCCAAACATTTATATTATTATTATTTTTTTTTTTTTTTTATTCTTTCTGCTCTGTGGTTTCAGTCAGGTTTCCAATGGGGTAGATGTGCTTGATGTATCCATGATAGAGCTATGAAAAATTTATGAGGTTTTTCAACTCCTCAGACTCAATCCCCATAGGAATAGGCTGATGCTTTAATCTCTACAGCCATCTGGCCATCCATTTATATTACTTAAATAGTGATGACATTGACATTAAGATATTATAAATCTTTTTAAGATTTGTTTTTATAATTTTTCCATGTCATTGATAATAGCACATGATTAGATATTTTTTTATATTAACATCTGTACATCCATGGATCCATAACAACTCTTTACCTTTTCATTTGTAACTTGTCTCTCCTTTTTTGCATGTTTTCATGGATTCAGACAAGTTCACAATGGGTGACTGGATGGGGAGGGACAGACTGAAGTATCCAGATTAACCACTCTGAAAATTTCTGATCTATTTGAACCCAGATTCTCTAGAATGGCAGTCTAATTCTTTTACTACTTTAACCATCCTTAACTTCTATTAACTTTTAAAAAATAAATTTAACTAAATATTTTTTGGTTTTTATGAAAAATATTTTTTATCATAAATAAATTACTGCTATAGTAATTTATTTTTACTTTCCTGGCTCTTGTTATATATAACAGAAAGTATGGTGATTGGTCAAAATATGGTCTCCAGGATTTTTACATTTTTGGACTCGGGGACCTTGAAACATCAAGAAATTCAAAAAAAGTTCAGGGGGTTTTTTCTATTTGTTTGTTTGTTTGTGTGTGTGTGAGGCACAATTTTGTTTATCCTCTTTGAAGCTTAATAATTCTAATGTTTGTCTAAATTTTGCGGGGACATTTGTGTCTTAATGGCAATTTTACTTGTTATTAGCATTTACAATATTTTTATAAAATACATCCCTATCCTCAAAATTAAGCTTTTTGCCATTTTATAATAATTAAAAATATAAAAAGTTTTTAAAATAAAATATCATAATAGATGATGCTACACACACACAGTTTTAGATGTTACCAGGAAACTTAAGCAACTTGCTGCTGGATGTTTTACTATTTTGTATATGTATATATAATTATATTCTTCAAAATATTTTTTTTATCTTTTTAAATATTTTAAATGTCGGTATAATTTTGCTAGCTATTATTTGATGTGTTTACAGTACTTTATGTAGAGATCCTTTAATAAGTTTTCATCACTTGTTTGGGAGTGCTGTTTGCATCTCAATGAGCTAGGTATCCATAATAGGGCCTTTCTCTTGTGGGTGTCAAGACATGAGGATGTGGTAATGTAAATGCTGATCTGCTGGCCAAACAGGGTGCTTCATATCCCTTTGTAGGGCCAAAACAAGCTGTTAGTATTTCCTGTAACTGCTTTTTTTAATGCTTTCTTTAACAACTTTTTTCAGAGCTGAAAATTAATTCCTGATTTAAAACAAATATAAACATCTTACACCTGATAGTTATATATTAAAACCAAAATATTGTTGAATTATGTTGAGCTATATTACCACTACTATTATTAATTGCTAAATAATTTGGCTGTAGAGTCAGGCATTAGGTACCAAATTACATAATAGTAATATTGTCCAATATAATCCAGCAATCATTTGGCTTTAATACCTGGTTTAAAACAGAGCAAATTTTCCTAGTCTGCTCTCTAGGAAAAGTAAGGATTTCTCATCTTTCAACAGGAACGTTTGCTTTTTGGTCAGCGTTGTTACTGATTTTGGCCACTTGTAAACATGTATGCTGACTGAAACTCTCCTCCTCAGCCTCCTGTTGCTTTTGTGGATCTGCTGAGGAGACTCCTCTACATCTCATTTGTGAATGTGCAAATCTCTACTCAAGTAAACTTGTTCATCCGTGTTTCAATTTGNGGTTAAGGCTTTTATGTCCAACAGATGTCGCTACGAGTACGACGACCTAAGTTTGCTTTTCTGTGAGGCATTACGCTTTTCTGTGAAAATGAACTAAAGCATCATCTTCTATCTATCTATATAAATAAAAATGTAATGTTCGTTTGTTCCTACCGATTCCTCTGAAATTTTGACACAACGCTGCATTCGAATACGCACGTGTTTTTATATAATATACATGTCGAAATTCCCCTTACTGGGGGAGATGGACAGGATTAAGGCTTACAGTAAAAAACTCTGCTTCTATTTATACTATTTTAGATGCGGTTTTTTGCGTTTTTGATTGCGTTTTAATAGGATACGTCAACAGAATATACATTAAAAAGGGATTTTTCGATATTCCGCCCGCGGGGGAGAGAGACAGGATTAAGGCTTACCGTGAAGAACTTGGCTTCTATTATACTATTTTAGATGCGGTTTTTTGCATTTTTTTATTCGTTTTAATAGGGTACGTCAAGACAATGTACACCAGGAAGGAATTTTTCGAAAAATTCTCCTCCCCTCACGGGGGAAGTGTTATATACATTTATAATAGATACATTTTGAGCCCCAACAACGCGTGGCGGGGTCTGCTAGTGGTTTTATAATTTTTAATCATTAAATCTTTATAACACATTACAAATAAACAGCTACATCTGAACTCCATTTTTTACATTAAACAATACATTAATGTGGTGAACCTATGGCACGCGTGCCCAAAGTAGCACATAAGGAGAAATCATCTGGCACGTAACGTATCATACAATTTCTATCTATCAACCGTCTTTTTTAATCATCCTTTCGGTTTACCTGAGTATTTATTTTTTCAATCAGCCTTTTTTGCATGTATTATAATTAAGATATATTCGTTTAATTTCTTTAAATAACGTTATTCAAAGTCTAAAACTTTGGCACGCATCTTTAAAGATAAGTATGCTTACTATATGGCACGCAGATTCAAAAAAATTCGCCATACCTTTTTGAACCTGCACGTGAATTGATTTATGATTGAAAACATTTTTCAAAATCAGTTTTAACCCCCTTGGGACTTTCCAATTTTTGATATTAATGTAATTAAACAAAAAAATATTTAAAACTGAAAAAACGAAAGAAATGCGTTAATTTTGAAGAAAAAGCTTCAAAGTTTAACTTCCTTTGTCTCGCCTTTCTGTGAAATTTGACACTGATGAGTCATTGTTTACACAGCTGGATGACCTTGAGAACAGCTGGTGTTGGATTNCCTTTCTCTCATTTAAAATTTTATGAGTCTGAGATATACTGTAGAATTATATCAATTTACAGGTCTTAAATTTTATCAAAAATACGAATTGATTTATTATCTGTCTGAGAAATAAGATTTAAATTATATTTCCAATTAGCAAATGTTTACAAATATTATTTTATTAAAAATATAAGACGATAATCTACATATCAGATTCGAAATGCTCTTGAATATTATTTCAGGCTTCAAATATGGATTAAAAATCGCAAATGAGTTCAGTGTAGTTATTGTTTATTGGAATTAAAAATTTTTATTCAAATAATAAATATTTGAAATGTCGGTATAATTTTGCTAGCTATTATTTGATGTGTTTACAGTACTTTATGTAGAGATCCTTTAATAAGTTTTCATCACTTGTTTGGGAGTGCTGTTTGCATCTCAATGAGCTAGGTATCCATAATAGGGCCTTTCTCTTGTGGGTGTCAAGACATGAGGATGTGGTAATGTAAATGCTGATCTGCTGGCCAAACAGGGTGCTTCATATCCCTTTGTAGGGCCAAAACAAGCTGTTAGTATTTCCTGTAACTGCTTTTTTTAATGCTTTCTTTAACAACTTTTTTCAGAGCTGAAAATTAATTCCTGATTTAAAACAAATATAAACATCTTACACCTGATAGTTATATATTAAAACCAAAATATTGTTGAATTATGTTGAGCTATATTACCACTACTATTATTAATTGCTAAATAATTTGGCTGTAGAGTCAGGCATTAGGTACCAAATTACATAATAGTAATATTGTCCAATATAATCCAGCAATCATTTGGCTTTAATACCTGGTTTAAAACAGAGCAAATTTTCCTAGTCTGCTCTCTAGGAAAAGTAAGGATTTCTCATCTTTCAACAGGAACGTTTGCTTTTTGGTCAGCGTTGTTACTGATTTTGGCCACTTGTAAACATGTATGCTGACTGAAACTCTCCTCCTCAGCCTCCTGTTGCTTTTGTGGATCTGCTGAGGAGACTCCTCTACATCTCATTTGTGAATGTGCAAATCTCTACTCAAGTAAACTTGTTCATCCGTGTTTCAATTTGTCATCCCTGGTGAAGTCCCTCAGCTTTTCTTCAGAAGTCTGCTGTTTTTTTTAAAAGATATCAGACTTTAAGAAACTTAATCTCTCATGGAGTGCACAATGAACTTTTATCAAAGCACACTTAATCTATTGTCCCTACTTATATAATCTAAAATCTTAATAAATAATTAATTTAAATGATTATTATTAAAATAATTTTTAAGCAAATCATTCAATTTAATCACATAATTATATCATTACAATAATACCAACGTAATAAAAAATTTAATACATGGATAACTGAAATTATTTATTTAACTAATTTAATAATTAATACAAATATTATTTATCATTTTTTAGATTATGGTAATGGTCTGGATGTTATCATTCCTGGTGGATGGAGTATGGCTTTTTGGATTGCATTCATCTATCAAGGAGCAAAAGCAAGTGGTTTAAGAGAAACAAAGAATATTGGATTAGAATCTGGACTACCTGTTTTTCCATTTAACTTTCCTGACAGTCAAAGTTGTAAAGAAATCCAAGAGAAAAGAAGATTGGAGCTGACTGCAAAACATTATAGATATCCTCCTGATAAAAGGCCAAGTTTTGAAAAACTTGGCATACAAACTCCCTTCTTTTATCCATGGTTAGAATTAGTACAGGAATGGAAAAGAGACTTCAGTCAAACTGCAAATATATCATTAATAAAAAATGATTTCTTTGTTTTGAGGGAAAAACGTTGTCTCAAATTGCTGATTCATTTGTTTACTTCTAACAGAAATAGAAAAGAAACAAAAAGCATTAAAAATTCTGAAATAAGTGTCAAAACATTTTCTAATTTTTTTGTTAATGAAAAAAATTACTTTCAAAATGCATTGATATGTGTTCAGTTAACTCCTGTTTTTAAGGGAACACCTGATGAATTTTCTACTATCTTCCTACCGTTAGAAATGGATTTCAAAGAATATAAACTTAATCTACATCACGAGGGACCAATTGAGCCTGTTCATCACACAGAAAATAAAACAAAAAACAAGAAAACCAAGGGAAACAAAGCAACTAAAAGTGAGCAACTTGAAATGAAATTATCTAAACCAGAAATAAAAAATTTACTTTTATCATCAACTAGAAAAATTATTGGTTATGTAGAATATGGAAATTATAGTTTTATTGGAGGTAGAAGTGCAGCAATGGGTCATTGTACACTTAAAGGAATTGTAGAACTTCTTCAGAAATGTTTAGAACAAGAAACAGAACCAATTGCTCTTGTAAAAAATCAAAATTCCTACCAATTCAGATATGTTAAAATAAAAATAGTAGTGTAATTTTTAAATTTATTGAATAATAAATTATTTATATCAAACTAGCTGTTACCTTCACCTGTCTGGATTTTGCAATTTGATAGAAATAACCCTCCCTCGAAAAATCATTCCAGTGACTCATCACGTAAGCCACTATTTCTGCATATACTTCTTTGGCCACCACTTGAGTGTCATATAAAACAAAGGATATTGCTCTGAAGAGGCAAGCTCCATCACATATAATAGGAACGATGGTGTGGGGAGTCATAATACCATTTATGTTCAGTATTTCAACAACAATAGTAATTATTTAATTTATAACAGTGTTATATAACACATACCCCTTATTGCTGAGAATTATTTTACTGCTTAAAAGAAACATTTTCAATCTGTTCAATTTTCTGGAACGTTTACAATCGTTCTATAATTGAACCAATATGCAATAACAAATTTGAATTTAAAACGGTTTGAACATTTGGTTAAAAAATCGTAAAACGTAAATATTGTATGTTTGGAAATTAAGTTGTTACTGTACCACCAGAAACAAAAAATTGCATCTAAAATAGTACAGTAGAAGCCGTTCTTCAGGTTAAGCCTTAATTTTCTCCCTCTCTTCCCTCAGGTATTTCAATATAAAATCACGCACGTATTCGAATGCAATGTTGTGTCAAAATTTCAAAGCAATCTGTGAAGAACTTTTAGAGATTTAAAATTTTGAACAAACGAACATTTACATTTTTATTTATATAGATTATTCCTCATATATAATTTAATTAATAAATATGATTTTACTATATTTTAAAAAAGTTTTATATGTCCAAATAAACTATCATGCAGATCTCATTCAAGAAATGAATATTTTATCAGAATTCCCTCTCACCAGGAAAACTTAGAAATGTCAGAGAATTTTTTAATAATCAACTTATATTTGGTGTAAAGTCAGAGAATTCATTCATTGTTCTGAAAATTTACAACCACTTGATTTGTAGTTGAAAAGAAATTTTTAAAACAAAAAAATATGTTTTAAAATCATTTTGTATTTTTCAATGTTATATGTTGTGTGCATACAACAATTTTATCCAAAGATGTTATTTTTATGTGGGGAATGTGAAAATGAAACTTAATTCAACTAATTTAACAGGCAGTTTACAGTTTTTGTTAGATTATAGCTTTTCCTAAAAATTCTAATTCAAAATACAGTAAACCTCATCAAATCAGACTTTGCATAATTCGGATAAATTTTTTCAAAAAACTGTGCAATACTTCAAAATTTCTAGACAATAGAGAAATAATTAAATGAGTAATTATAATTATAACAGAATTATACTGGTAATGAGTTTTTTCAATAACCTAAGTCTATAATTTACTAAAGATTGTACATTGTTAGTAATGTCATGAAATTTTTTTGAGCTCATTTTTTGTAATAATAAAAGCTCAGTAAAATTTCTCTATGGAGCTGATTATAATAAATGACTGTACTGTATATTCACCTCTTTCCATATCAATGAAAACACCATGCTAACTCAGATTTTTGTAAATGCAGACAACCTTCACCCCCATTAGTTTGAGTTAACTGGGTTTACCTTGCATTAAAATAAGATCATTAAATTTGAATATAACTGTTATAATGGATGTTTCAAAACTGTTCAAAACTGAACAGTTTTGAAACATCCATTTAAGATCTGAAACATTTAAAGGTAAATGCCTTTTATCAAGCCCATCATGAATTCTGTCATGCCTGCAGGAATGATAACATCGGTAATTCCTAAATACAGTAGAGCGTCGTTTATCCGAATCAATTGAGGACTGTTCGGATAACCGATTATGTACGAAAAAATATAACCTATCCCGTGTTGAAATTTTTCTCCGTTGCGTGTCGCTTCGCGTTGAATTTTCGTCGATGTTAAGCCTAACGTAAACTTTTTAAAATAATAATCGTGGCTATTGTATCGTTAAAAATGATTTCTTTATGTTTTACAAACGAAATAAATACATTGAAAAATATAAAAACAAATAAAAATTATACTTTAGGCCGACTGGAATTCTTTCGGATAACCGACTTNGAATCCGGATCTCCCAAAGCGGTAGGCTGTCACCTTGTCCGCTCGGCCATCCGGCCGCGATTGCTGTCAGTTTACATTGATCACTACGGCAATTTTTTATTTTACATTTAGATCAGTATTAAAACCCTTTATTGCACAATTTTATTTTTCTACATTGCGGTTCATTTTATTTTCGTTTTCTTAGAAAATACCTAGTGTAATTTAATGCTATTAAATATTTTTAAAATTTTCGCGTTTATATCAAACGTGACGCTGTTTCCATAATGACAAAATTTAATTTTATATAATTATTTATTAATTAAAAAAACTGACAGCAATCGGACTTTTGATTGATATGCACTGAGCAAACAGCTTACAACTGGCCCGTAGACTCTACATGGTGAACCTTGGCCTCGAATATCTCAACCCATAGATCAAATTTCAAAATTCCGGCTTCAGCGCCGCTTTCCTTGAAGCTTAGAAGTTTGACAATGGGTTTGGAACATCGAGCATGATTCTACTGACGTTCTAAACGCCATTGTCAAACTTCTAGGCTTACAGGAAAGCAGCGCTGAATGTCCGACGTACACGTTTTTTGCGATGAAAACGTCGACTGCAACCACTCTTATATTTCAAAAATTCTCTGGAGGTGGATCCCAGGACGTTTTTCCCTGGAGTATTCCGTAAACTCCAGACACCTGTTAGGTCATCCCACAATTTGTTAGAGCCCCCTACTATAGTTCGTTTAGTTAAGCTCTCGGGTGGTACTGAATATATATTTGTGAATTCCAGACTAAGAAAGACAGATCCCCAAGAAAAATTCCCGAGATTCTTGACTAACTTGTAAGATTCGTATCCGGATTCCCGAAGCAAAACTCAACTCGGCCACTGCCGTCTTGAGTTAAAGATTGAGACGGCCGGATGGCCGAGCGGTCAAGGTAGCAGCCTACCGCTATGGGGACCCGGGATCGAATCCGGACGGGTCGAAAAATCCTAAAAATTTTTCGGGGGTGGTCCGTCCGGATATGTCGGGTCCCGTCCCTGACCACCCGGTCGACCCATTGTGGGCCTGGCCGAACCCATAATCGGCTTGCTAAAGTGAGGCCCTCTTAGTGCCCACAGGGCGGAAAGAGTTAAAAAACAAAGATATCTAAAGATTGATAATATTTAATAATGAATGCGCATTAATAATGATTTCATATAAGTAAAAGTATTTTAAAATTAATTCAACAATAAGTTTTGAAATATTTATTATAATATACATATATTTTATCGGCATTAATTTATCGTTTTCCGGATTGCTAAGAAAGAATGATAAAGTAATCACAATGTTAATAATAACATTAATATTATTATTGTTAATTTCAAGATTTTAAATAATACAAATATTTTGTTTAAATTTAATGATTTAGCTAATGGAAAAAAATATAAATCTCAATACAACATTTTAATTATTATTATTATTATTACAATCTGGCAACACTTAAAGTCTATCAATATTATTTAAAATGTTCGTAGTAAATATATTGTATTCAGTACAGATGTGATCATTATACAAGCTTCGTTCGGTTCATAAACTGTATCACATATTACTATGTCTTCACAATTTGCACAGGGCATTCTTAGAGTAGCTGTGGCACAAATATGCCAAAATATTGGATGGCATTCTGTACAATCGTCCCCTATCGACCTCCTGGTCGACATTTTGCAACGTTACTTACTTGAATTATCTAAAACAGCGCACAAGTATTGCAACCAATGTAAGTGGAACGGATGCATTTGAGAATTTTAACGTGATTTACAGATAATGTTGATATCAATTGTTTCACATATCGATTCAATAAAACACTCAAAATACATTGATTCTATTCCCAAGTACAAATGTTTATATTGATTTAATATTTAAAACTTGTTTAAATGTATTTTTTTCACACGTGGATTTAAACAATTTGAATTAAACTTACAAATACTTGCTGATCATTGATGATATTATTATGAATTCTATGTGCAATTAAAAAATATAGCTTGAGTATAATTAAGATATACATAATATATAATTAAAATCACACATTTAACTAATAAATCTGTATATCATATACATCATGTAATATGTATTCTATATATTAAACTGAGCTTAAATTATAATTTTCAATAGACAATACAATGGCATATAGTAGTAATAAAAACAGATCTATATTTAATCTTATATATTCCAGTCATGTATAAATTCATATTAATTTCTTATTAATAGGAATTAATTAGTTTTAATACCTTTTGATTTAAGTTCAATCTAAGATCAATGTCAAAAGTCTCATTCATTATTATTATTTTTAATTATCAAATTTACAAATATAGAGGAAATTTTAAGGATTTAAATATAACTTTTTTTTTAAAGAATTTAAATATTTTTAAATTTTGAAAAAATGCTAACATTTTATATTAATTAATATTTAAAGTTTGATGAAAAAATATTTTAAATTGAAATTAAATAAAATGTTTTATTAGCTAAGATACGTTTNTTAACTAAACAACCGTTTATTTGTAAAGGAAAATACATTGTACACAATTTATAGCGTTAACGAGTTATAATAAATCGAGTTAAAATAGGTCTACATATTTCCGCGGTTCTCGAGAGATTGAGTTTACAGTGGTTCGCGAGTCGATAAATACCTGGAGCAGAGGGTGTCCTAGGGCAACGGTCCCCAACCTTTTTATTGTTGCGGACCGGTCAACGTTTGATAACTTTACCGCGGCCCACTGAGGGGGGACGTTGATTGTTCATATTTTATATTGATTTAATTCAATAATTTTAATTTCACTGTATTTAAACATGCCTTCAAAATAAAATACAGTTACACCAAAAAATGAATACATATACAGTAATGTGATTTAACATTTTAACTCACTAGAACGCTAAATCAATGAGAACCCTGAGCTTATTTCTTTGCAACGAGACGGTTCTATCTGGGGGTAATAGAAGACAATGACACCCGAAGTGTGTTTCTTATGTCCAGT